CAGTTTAATTAATTAGTTGAATAGATTATAAAATATATCATTTAAAAAATTATTATTTTTTAATTTAAAATTAAAAGTAAATAAGTTTAAAAATAAAATTATACACATAGAATGTAAAAATATATATACTATTTTTAATAATTAAATCAAATGAGTATAAAAAAATGTTAAATTAAGTGTGTTCATATATTTCCAATTAAATAAAAAACTAATAAAAGATCTCAAAATGTTGATATGAAAATTATAGATTAGAGATTTTCTTAATTTCATACTTTTGTTTTTTAGAATCTAACAAGTGTGTTATATAATGTGTTAAATTGATGAATGTATGAATTTTTAATCTTAAAATTTTTATATTGTAATTACAATATGAAAATTGCTAATTGTGCATATATATATATATATTTGTCTATGAGTTTCTATGCATCAGCTTTTATGCATTTTTTGAGTGGAACTATGGGATACCATTGATGAAGAAGCACTATTGTTTAAACAATGTTGCTTGTAGATCAGGAAATAATTTCTTAGCATTGAGCAATCCTTTGGTCTTAGTCTACTATTCTGCCTGGGTTACTTGCTGCATTACTCTTGTGGTTGAATAATTTCACTAGTATTTTAGCTCATATGCTTGTGGTCAGTCCAAGATAATGCTCATGCAAAAAGGGCTTGGAAATTGTACGAGGTAGAGTAGAATAAAAGTCTGGTTGTTTGAACTTTGAATTGAATGGAGAAAGTAAAAGAAAACCATTTAATCTTTATATTGGATTTTCACTTTGGTTAGTTGATAGTTGGGCTAGTCATGTGGTGTGTGCGCTAAATTGTATATCTTTGGGTAAAATGGTGTCTTTGGCACTGAGACTTCAGTACCACATTCAAAATTTTCTGCTTGGCATTTCAAACTATCTAGTTCTTGTATTGAAAGTGTTTTGAATACCTTAATTCCAACTTCTATGGTTGCATTCCAATTAGAGAGTAGCCTTCTTGTGGGAAAGAGGTGAAGCATCTTATCTTCTTATCCATAAACTGCAAGTTTTTTCTAATAGACTACATTAGTTACTTCTGAGATTTGACATTCTGACTTTTGTTTTACAGAGGAAGCTGATACTGAAATATGCCCACAAGTATAGGTTGGGACTGTGGAGGCCTCGAGCTGAGCCTGCGAAGGCATAATGAAGGACTGCTGCAATATGTTTGTCTACAAGACAATCTTTCCGAAGGACATTTCTTCTCCTTGAGATGAGAAATTGTTTGAGTTTTGGCCTCAATGTCTGTAACTCTATTTAACGGACAGACTCTAGTGGTTTAGGTCAACAGATACCGTAAGCATATCTAACAGCCTCAAGAGTGTATTTTCTTTTTGCATCAATTTCAAATGGAGAGCTGCAGTTGGTATCGGATGATTACTTAATTGAAAATGGAGGTTCAATAACGGGCTTTTGTTAAAATTTACACGTTTTTCTGGGGATAACTTTGTTTTTCCATCTCCCCAAATGTGCTCTACTCTCCTTTCTAAGTAACAAAGACAAATTGGGCTTATCTGAATTATTTCACTCACGCTCAACTTAAACTTGTATATCTTGAATTGAAATTATAAGTTTCCTTATTGATATCTCATCTTTCTTTTCAACTGAAAAAACATAAACTGAATCATGTATTGCAGGAGTTACATGAACTACTACTAAACAAGGCAGGATAAAGTGTGGCAACGAAATCAATGAGAAGAAGAACTAAGCATATATTAGAAAGCAGGACAAAGTGGAAAACAGAAAGAAGCAAGCAAACCCAAATTACATTTCACATGAACCCTAATGAAATCTTAAACCATGTCTAGAAATTTGTTCCCAAGATGATAAGCATTATAAGCATCAAGAACTGCAAAATTGACCTGCTTAACAGAAAACACCCTTGCTTTCCATGAAGGAGTCTTGGTGCAATCAATAGTTGATTGCTGAATTTTCATCCCAACTATGTTAGCTAAATTTTCAAATCCATGTCCCTGCACAAGATCAGGATTCGTTAGAACCCTCGCAGCCAAATAGCCAATCTCAACCCTACTCTTGCATTTTAAATAACGTTTGTACAGTTCTTGCATGTTGAACTTGAACCCTTGATCAAAACGACTCAAAATGTTACTCATTCTCACGCCAGCAAACAATATAGTCTGATCTTCCAAGAACTTTCTAGGCTTTCAGGTAAAGAGTCCAAGTACCCTAACTGAATTGTAAGACACTGACTCCCAACATACACAATTAACAATGCAGCTTCACTGCGATCAAACTTAAGATCAAGAGCTACAAGACGCCACTGCTTGTGTGTAATAGCAGACTTTAACTCAGAAACTTCAGTATCAATCAGAACAGCTTGATCAGCTGCACATACCTTAACCTTGACATCTTGAATGTCAACTTCATATTGACTCATTTTTGGCAGAAAAAAGTTTGGAATCATCCTGAACTTTTTGAAGTCTCTATTACATTTAGAGTACAACTTCTGCGTGGACACATGTTAATAGATATAGCCAGAATTTAAGAGCACGTACGGTCTGGTCTCCTTGAGAAATGAAGAGCTTTCTTAACCACCATGAAGAGTTGCCTTCCAAGATAACCAGTACTTTTCATCTTCTACTTGGGTACTCGAGCCACCTTTTAGGGGTGGTATTGATTGAATCAACTAACCATATCAGCATAATTCCAATGAGATAAAGAGCATAGGTATACTATAAAAGTGTCAAAAAAAATTTCTGTTCATTGGCTAATGATGTTCTCTGCCACAGCAATTAATTAGAGAACCTCCCACGTAATTTCCCTTAAGCCACCTTCTAGGTATGCTTAGGTTCTTGTGCCATCTTCTTTATGGAGAAACAAATACTTATCCATTTCCATTTTCCGCTATAATATGCATTGTGATTCTGTGAAGGTGAAAGGATTATTGGAGAGAGTTACATAGACTGAAATTAATGTTGATTGACTGAACATTTAAATGAAGCTTGTGTGCATGATTCAAAAGAGCCATGGAGCATGCATTGGCATTAAACGATGTCAATACTTCTGTTCATTGGCTAGGGGTAAGTGCTCTGCCACTACAATTAATTGGACAACTTCACAATCTGAATTCTGCCTACTCAAGCATAAGGTTCATAAATCCTAATCTAATATTTTAAGAATATGCATCCAGGCTATTCTTTAACTCAGAAATACGAGAATATATCAAGGCTCAGTTATGAACTACATGCACAGTAACCCTAATGGACCAACAGAAGTCAACCTCATCAATCGACATCTTGGAGAGAAAAGAAATTGGAATATTCAACTTGAATCCGACTAGAAGGCACTTTTGATGAATCTTGAATGGGAACTGTGGTATTTATAGGATGAAATTTCAGATACGGTATAAGAGTAACATTCAAGCGGGGCAAGAGTTGTTTAGTTTGCGTTCCTTAGCCTTGGAGAATTTCAAGTTCTTGGATTTGTGTATGTACTAGTATATGTACTCACGTAATGCATGAAGAACATATATATAATTATATAACCTTGTTTCCTTAGGATATTGATTTATAAAACAGCAAAACAATGTTTAGAATAGAACAGGAAAGCAAAACATGACCCATATCACAGACATAATCCCATCAAGATTCAAGAACAAAACACAAATCCCATTTTCAATAACAAAATTCGACACCTATATCTGCTCCAAAAGTTTGCTTCCTATGACATAAGCCGTATAAGCATCATGTATTGCAAGCCTGATCTGCTCAGCTGAAAACAGCCGTACACTCCATGGAGGTGTTTTGGTGCCAGAAAAAGTTGACTGCTTCAATGTTATTCCAGCTGCTTGAGCCAACTTTTTCAATCCATGTTCTTGAATGAGAACACAAATTTTTATGATTTTTACTTTGATGTTAATGGAATAACTCAAAATGTCACTTATTCTAACACCAACAAAACAAACAATCGCTTGAGAAAATAAATCATCAAGCAATAAGGGATAAGAGTCCAAGGAATGTAACTGAATTATGAGGAATTCAGTTCCAGCACCAAGAATGACCAACTGCGCTACATTGGTCACAGTCTTAACATCAAGAGCAACAAGACTTTTTCCTCTAAAAATGAACTTGTAAATCTCATAAATATGTGTATCAACCAAGATGGCCCAATCAGCTAGGTGTGCCTTGACCTTGACACCATGAATTTCAACTTCATATGAGCACATTTTGTGAAGAAAATCCAATGGAACGTTCATGATCTTGAATCTCTGCGTGCAATTTGGGGAATAAGCTATTCCAAACACATCTGATTTTATAGATGGAGGTCTAACCATGGAAAGGATCGATGCAGTGAATGCAAACTGTATCAACAAAGTCTCTTTGGGGAAAGAAGAGACTTCTTAATCTCACTGACAAAGTCTAACAATGTCCTTGCAATGACATAAGTTGTAAAAACATCGTGCATTGCAAGCTTAATCTGCCCATTAGAGAACAACCAAGCATCCCACTTAGTGTTGTTGCACTTCTTTAGAGTTGACTCCTCCATTTCTGTTACAGTAGCATCAGTTAAGTCAGCTAATCCATTGGTATTCCTCCATGAGATTGTGATCGTGGGGCACTCTTGCAGCCAAATAGCCTAGATCAAACCCAAAGTTCAATAATTTATTGCAACCTAAAACCCTCATTCTGTCAACTAGACTAGACCACATTTTACCCATTTCTTTCCCAACAAAAAATCCAGTCTCATCAGATGCATTCTATCACTTTCCGTCTCCCTCGATTCCTTTACCGTACTCCTTGGTTTTCTGCCTCGCCTGAATTCTCCGGCCGTCGCTGTTCATTTCTCGGTATCGGCTTAGCGATCGAAGTTCACTTTGGCCCATGGATTGGGATCTCTCAGTGTTCTTATCTCATTGATTTGTGTTCCTTTCATTGCTTATTATTTCCTCCCAAATTTCTTCTTCCCTTTGGGTTCTCCTCCTCATCTATCTTCTCTGCAGTTTGTCTACGGTACCGGCAGAGTCAATCACCACCAGCAGCTCTCCGTTCATTCGAAAGTCTACGGTGGCGACAGAGCTAATGGACATGGTCATTGACTGCAAGAAATATAAGATGTCTCCCTAGTTAAACTTTCTAAAGTCGATCAGAAATGTACATATATATTCAAGCGCAGATAATTAAAAAGTTATTATTTTTAAATTTAAATTTAAATTGAGAAAAATTTTATTTATAAAATTTAATTATTAAATCAGTAGGTAGTGTTAGATATATTAAATTATAAAGTGTATTAATTATTATTTTTAAAGAATTTTAAGGGGTTTAATTTAGAGGAATGTTAAAGT